TTATTTAACACCGTAATGTTATCAAACATGTGACCCGCCGCGCCGCGCGCATTCCCATACAGCCGGCCGAATATTTTCCGTGTTCCTAATGGTTATAAATTTAYAAWCATATTTTATTTMTTCAAAACTAGAAAAAATATTAAAAATCAGGAAATTAATGAAAATAAAATTTTAAAACGTCAATATTTTTAGAAAAATAAACTCTACAAAATGGCCATCTTTAATTTTTTTGGAAATAATTAAATAAAAAAAAATATATTTCTTAAATTATTTACAAAAACATTAAAATATATTTAAAAATGAAGTAATTCTAGTTCATATCCCTATGAATCTTATTATAAAACCAGAATTTTGATATCTCCATTATTTCGTAAGATATCGCAATGGGTAAATCCTCGCGGAACACCCTGTATATTGGTTTATTAGGACTACTTAACAAATTACCATTAGAAATAATTGTATTATATTTACACATGTTACACGGTGTATCTAAATATTACATAAAAATATTCATTACAAACTACCGCTTACATATTCATATGTATAAGCTGTAAATAAAAAACCATACCTATAAAAGGTATATTAATTATTGTCACAAGACTAACCATTATCGCACTTACAATTTTAATACCATTATCCAGACTGCCGGAATAAGCTGTAGCTATGACGGCGGCACATCTCTCGGCGTACTCGGGAGCTCTGCCGTCCATAGTGACACTGCTAATAGCCAAAGTGTGAATGTTTCCCACATAGCCATCCGATGCACAATTGTCAAATTGCATACGACCATTTCCCGAGGCGAATACGTATATTGAACCTTTGCCGTTGCGACCCTAACATAAAACGAATAAAAACGACAGCGCTTAAAAATTATTAAATCATATATTCCATCGACAACAACGCGGTTTATAATACTGTCAAATTGAATTACTGCGAGGCATTAAGAACCAAGTGGTTGTTGAACGACGACATCGCGGAAAAAAATAAAACCACAATACCGATCACATCAAAGTTGATCATGTTATATTTATTTTAATGCAATTTAGGGTGAAACAAAAATGCTTCAATCCATTTTAATGCTCGCCAATGGACGTGATGACAAAATTGAACCCGTAATCGAATTTCATTAGGAATTATTTTATGATTTATGTTCAATGTTTTATTGCTAGACAATATTTTAATCATATTATTATCCAACACTCAACGTACAGTATAGGTATCTATTACAATGTTTTATTATATTGTAGGAAAATACACATAAAATTAACATATTATTATATGCAGACACATATTATTCAAAAATGTTTTGCACTGCAGATGCTAATTTGTTTTACTCCCATCAACCCAGCGCGAATGTATTGTGCTTGTGGTATATAATATATTCAATAAAATATAAAATCAAATTTAACAAAGAAATATAAACACATCTTATTATCAAGGATCGTAATCGTGGTTAATAAAAAATGTACGACAAGATTAAAACGCATATCATAAAAATTTCAAACCTAAATATGTCTATTGTCTAAGTATAAAAAGTAACACCCACTTCTCAGAACCATTTTCCGGCAGCACTTAAAAATCACAAACTGACAGAAGGAAATTTAAAAAATTAATGTAAATCCACATAAAAAATCTTAAATTGATATTATGTAAATCTTAATTCAATAATAATTAATTTGCATTTTTTTGTATGTGAAAACACTTTTTTGCAGAAAATAATGCTTTACTTTTCAATATCGAGATTTGTTTTTGGCATGAAGTTGAATCAGCTTTAAGTCTTTAAAGGGAATGGTGTTATGAGTAAAAAGTGTCAAATCATTATTATGAACTGTTATCCTTACAACATGTTATGTAATTTTATATTTTATATATTTTTAAATATTATATATAAAACATTTTACTGTGAAAAAAGGGGTAAAATATTTTATGTTATTGGTTTAATATATACGGCTAATATAATCTGATAATAAAATAGAAATAATAATAAGCCCTGGATTAAATTATAGCCAGCCCTGTTTCTCCGAACAGAATAAATAAAACAAATACTGCGAGTATTTTTTTTTTCAACAAAACTTTTTAATCCCGGTAGACTACTATTGATCTTATTGAAACTCCCATGCTCTGTAGCCTCTATTCTATATAGGTATTTGATTATAAGTACATATTTATTAAATAGTAAGTACAATCAGTTTTCGGTTCATTGTTAAAACTCTGAAATTTATACATTTCCTAAATCACTGCATTGAATTATATTACAGACATATTTTCCGGAAAAAATCCATCAATAATAGCCAAAATATCACCAAAACTCGGGATCGTTTTATATCGTTGTTATAATAGTTTATTATTCAAACGTGTGTGCGATAACTCCATTAGTCGTGCAGGTACTTCAACTAGCGAATGGCGAACAACGATGTTCAAACACTGAACATATATGTATTATAATACATGCGTGCGTTGTTTGTGCAGTATGTATACATACACATGTAGACACATACTAATATTATAATATATTATGTTTTTAATTAGATCAAAGCTAACTACTTTAATTTATAAAGCATACATATTATTATGTTTCCTTGAATACCAGATTTTATACAAAAAAAAAAAAATGTATTCTAAAAACAGAATTATTATCAGTGTTGGTATAAAAGTTGATGAACGCAGTTAAGTGTCAATCTAACAAGCTAATCCCTGAATTATTGTTAATTGTGCATTTCGTAGTCTGTAAAAAAATTCCACCTCTTATTTGTGTTTTTTGTATTTTTGTTATAATAACACCATTTCTAAGCAGTTATGTTTCCCAAAAAAAGATCGATCGGTAATAGTTGCACGTCTCGAGCACGATAGAAAATGGCAATACGAGCTTCTGAAATATTTATAAAAATAGATTTCCGTCGGTTTGTCTTTTATGCATTCCTAAACGGCTGAACCGATTGCGATGAAATTTGGTACAGAGATATATTAGACCTATGGGCAGAAGATGGGCTAGATTATAAAGTGATGGCCCAAATATCATTCAATCGTATATTTGAATTGTCGGACTGTTCTCGATAAAACGAATAAAATTGCATAATGATAAACTGAATTGAACACCTTTGTAAGATTATTATTTAGTGTAGTTTCATCGTTATCTATCTATATGTATAAAAGTATACTGCTAGCAAAATCACAGGAAACGAATTTAACACACAGTTTGAGACATATAAGTGATGGTAGGATTTTTAACAGGCTACGACGCTACAAAGTGCACGGGTGGTTCAGCTAGCAATATATAATTATAACTTTTTTTTTTTTTACAGTGTAACTCTTACTTGTCGTGTAAATCAGCCTATACAGACTCAATTTGTACATTTCTAGCGTGCACACAACGTGTTCAGTAAAATCCCGAATAAAATCAAGATTACAAACATTAAATCCTAGCATAACCTTTTAAAACCTAGCCTCGCCTTGTGATCGGATATCATCGTCTGAAATATATTACATAGCACATAAATCTGACTCCTAATAATAACTACAATAATTGTGATACTATTTTATCAACCCAAATGCGAGCCACCCGGAGACGACGCATGTATTATATTATCATGGCGACTTGTAAACGCCACTGACGTTGCTGTTCTAGAATAACTATACAACTGAAACTTACTGCACTGGGTAAACGGAAAACTGGTACCTACGGTTTTTATAAACACCTTAAATACCGGTACGTTCCTCAATAGTTAAGATTTCCAAAACTTAAAAAAAAAAATAATTATTATAATAAAATATGATTAATATAAACGATGATTTCAACGAGCTGAAGCGACTATATTATACGGATTGAAAGAACCCGTAGGATTGAGTAAAATATACACAATACCTTAACGCCTAAAAGTTCAAGAAATACTTTGCAAGACAAACTAAACAACAAATTTGAGTCGTACTTAAATAAAGAAATTATAATATGACAGCTTTCAAACAATATAGCAAAGTGTATGAAATACAGTTATTACTGTTTATAAATTATATATTTATTATTTATTTTACTTAGCTGCTTTATATGTACTTATTTGTGTTTTTTGTTTATTTTGATTGCTAACTTTATCTTTTTTGTTTATAATGTATTATTTGAATTTAACTTGTTGACGGTGTTGATTTACTAAAACTATATAAACATTATAAATATTTTAGCACCCTTGGAAATTAAATTTTGAAGAGTATACCAGTATTCCACGTTTTTTATTCCTTTTGTTATAAATTCTAAGGACCGTACCAATATTCCGACAATCACTGTTGCACCGCTATACGATACGATATTGGTACATTATAATATAATGTGCAACAATGTTTAAGCCGTAAAAACAATTCGGTCAATCCCAGTCCCACGCAGCTACGGATGATGCCTTTCTCCGGTGGACCACGAGTTCTTGGGCGCTCGCCAACGGTGCAGAACCACCGCTAAAGTATACTATATACGGTATTTAGGTGTACAACGCGTAATGATATTATAATATATTATTATAACGGAGAGGGCCGTTTTTTTCCGCGGATTAAAAATAAAAACGTATAAATATTTCGTTTCTCGTAGAGTCGAGCGGCCACGGCGAATCGCGTCATATACACTCCGGTCGTACCTACCGTATAATAATAATTATAATAACATTATTGTTATATATGGGCTTGTCCGTTACTATTATCGAAATAAATAAATATCGTGCATGAATATCACAATATCGCGGCGTGGTAATGATGTGATTGATTGCTATATTTCCCGTTGTTTTCTCCTATAAGGGCAATCGATTAGTAATTCGTGCTGCAGAACTGTCTATGACGATGACGCCCACGTAATTCGTGATCCAGATTAAGTGATGATTTTAGTACAGTGCGTGTAGTGCAATAAACACACATACGACGCGTCACACGAGAATTATATTGGTATACTTATTTAATATTCCGAGATAATGGAATTCATAGTATTATCCTACCTTCGACCCGACTTTTAATGGTAAATCTCAATAGGAAACTTTGTGCAAACTAACGTAGTGATGTAGAACGATCCATTAATAGCACGCAACACATATTTCGAAAAACATTGTCACATGACAATAATATTATGTATTCAAAATAAATAATATTATATTCGGTATTTTGAGTACAGGGATTATTTTTAAAATCACATACCTACACAAGAGTATTTTTTTATTTCTTTTTTTTTTGCATTTACGATCAATAAGAAAAAACAATTATATTTATAAAAAAAAAATATATATATATATATATATCAAATATCTCAAAGAAAAATGAACAAAAAAGCTATTTGTGTAACAAAACGTCAAAAACCAAAATATCTTTATAAATGTAAAACAAAACACTAAAGAGGAAGTATTACCTACGGTACGTGAAAATGTTTTTATACTAACTTTTCATCGAAATCATGAAACAAATTTATTGAAAACACAAAACACTAAATCTAGCATTCAAGTAGACAGTTTGTAAGGTGCAAAAGTTATAACAATTTAGTAACTTGTTTATTGCGAGAATAATAATCACAATATATAATGTATACGCATAATGTATTAATGTCATATACGATGCATATACATTCGTCTGCAATTAATTATTCAACACATTGTTTAGATAACCCTTATACCATATTTGTATCAACGATATTTTATTGTTCTAGTTTATATTATGCGCGCAATTTAGCACCTAAGTTATATAATATTTGTGTATAAGTACATGCAACTATAAATTCATTCATAAGCAAAAGACTTCGTGGTAATATGTGAAAAAATGAAAAATTATCATTCAAACAGTAATAACTTTATGTATATTGGCATATTAGTTAGGTGGAATGTAATATTAGCTAGGTAGCCTTTACATGAGTATATTGTTTACTTACCATATCATATAATATTAACAATTTTTGTCATACGATGAATTAGCATAATTTTTTTTTGTCAGGCATTTCTGTTATACCCTGTACTGCAATTTATACTCTATAATATTTATCACGTTTAAGCTATATTAGTCGTTGGCACAATACATTTAGCATGGAATTTATTAAAATTATAAGTACCCAGGTACTGCATTAATCTATATTTATATAGGTATTATACGAAAGCTTAATCATGATAAATTATTGCGGAACTAATGTCGAGTATACAACTGATTAAATCTACCCGACATAATACACGTTGGTATTTCATATATATATACTTATATATATATATAGATGCGTCGAATTTCGTTGAAATTTGTATATTACACAATATTATTAGTTATTATCGGAGTGTATACCTACCTACCAACACTACGCCAGTGGTGGCTCGAAGGGAGTATATTTGAATCATGTGATTTACAAAAATATTAATGGGTGGGTATAGGTGGGTGAGTCTTATGATTGGAAAAAGTAGACTGGACTATTTTTGCAAGTTGGTAATTTAAATATTAAAATATAACTAATAAATATAAATATATAGCCGTAATATGTACTCAGCAGATAATGTACAGTAATAAGTAATAACTATATTTTAGGGTGGGTGGTATAAAAATATTAAACGTGATTCGAGGGGGAAAAATCTCAAGCCACTACTGCGCTACGCTATATTATATTACGAACCTTAGTTTCATAAGTGTTAACACTTATTTGTTTTAATTTGTTTTAACCGTGTACCTATACGATATAGGTACCTATACACACGTTTGTTCTCTTTGCAGTATAATTCATTATAGGTATGTAATAATAAGCTCTCGACGAAATAATTTTACCGTAAATTAAACCTCCATTAAATGGAAATTTAGCAGATCTCAAAGAGTTTTAACCCTCGTCAAATAGTTTTGAATAAATTATGTATTTTAGTTAGCTGTTCTGTCAATGACATCATTATATGCGTATTGCGATTACCTTGGTTGCACCGATTTCAAATGCAATTTGCGCCATTACTCCGGGCCCGTCGACCATTAGTCCGTTGTCGATAGGCCCCCATGATCCACTGTATATATCCACCAACGAATTAGCGTTAATTAAAGCTCTAGCTTCCATTTCGTCGTTTGTTTTGCCATCGAGCAATACGATACCTATACAAATTCATCAGTTTATAGTTAGCAAAGTGATTAATACGCTCTAAATAATATTGCTCACATTATTATTATTATTATTATTATTATTGGGTATTAAAGTAATCTAGAATTGTTCACCACTCTGCTACAACATCACAGTAATATCTTGGAATTAAAACCGTGGCCAGAAAAATATTGTTATTTTATTTTTTTGTAGGAAGTGTTAGAGTAGAAATATGTTTTTTTGACTAGCAAATTTTAAAATATCAAATGTAATCTGTTAATTTCAGGGGTAAGGGGCTGAACTAATTTATATGATGATTATATTAACATCCCCGAATTGTTTTCAAGTTTTATTTTTTTTTTTTAGAATAACCATGTAAGATTAATTTGTATAATATACAATATACTCATGWTGCACATTAAATAATATACATGTGTGCAATTTATTCTGAAATATTAATTTATAATTAACAAAACTAAAGGTTTTTYTATGACATTTATRTGTGTATATATTATTTGCCTGCGCCTATTGGAGATTACAATAAAAAAAAAACCACAATGACATAAATTTATGCCTGGGCTTTTTACGTCAGATAATTTTAGAACTCTGTGACACTGATCCATATACTAAAAATTATTTTAGTACTTTTTATGCAATATCTATTCGCTTCCTGTATGAATATTCTAATAAAAACATCCAACGAGTATCAATTTTCTAAATATGTTTTTTATTTTCTTTCTTGAACATATAATTAAGTACCTAATTTAKGTGTCAACAAATTTATAATGAWTAAAGTAAAATAATTATGATGTTATTTGTATACTTTTATTTCAGTTTAATCGCATGGAATTCGTAAATCATTAGTACTGGAATTGATAGAACTAGAAAACTATAATAWTATAACTGGTGGCTTAAAATAATAAGTTAACGAACAATCAAATCATATATAGTCAACATAAAATCAATAACATCATACTGCAATATTACCACTTGTTTAGTGAATATTATTATGATAACTTTAAGGATTGTTAATTTACAATATGCATACATACAATTATTAAATTAATACAAAGGAAAAAATATGGTATATTAGCATAATAAAATTWAAATTKTAAATTCAAAACACTGATGTTTCCATTTTTTTTTTAAATTTAGAAATGTRTTTTAGCACAAATAAATCTTGACTACGCCAAAACCAATTTTTTTATGTAAATATTTGTGGTGATAAATTATTCATTTTACACACACGCTTATCGATATACCTACCTATTATTTTGAACGTTTTTTTAAATGTAATTTTCGAAATGGATTTTTATGTCACCTACAATTTAAATGATTGAACTATTGTTTAAATGTAAGTAAAAGTAGTAGGCGTGATATTTGCCTTTTATTGTGGGTAATAAATAAATAAGTATATTATTTATTTATGTTGTCTCAAAATAAAAACTAAAAAAAAGAATCCATGTGGTATACTAATACTTTAATATAGAAAATACAATTTTATATGTTTATTGTATATTTTAGATTTAAAATCCTGGCAATCGTCCAAAATTMCTTAGACGGAAACCATGTAAGGGGACTTGCTAAACTAATATAAATTAAAGGTATTAAAAAAATAATAATATATATGACTTTTTTCGTCAAACTATTCGTGAAAATAATTTAACTCAACGATATTTACGTATCACAGTACAACGTGTTACCATCTCTCGGAAACAAAAATAACGGACAATATTTATTTTTTCACAATATTATTATTCAGTTTGATAATAATATACCAAAAATATCGTCAACTTAATGACGTTAGAAAAATCTTATATTTGCTGAAAAAAAAAAAAATAAAATGGCACAATTTAACATATATGTCACCCAAAAATTAAAATTTTTATACATMATTTAAGTACAATATACCTAGGGACGTAATAAGGTCTTTAGTATATAGTTGTATAGTGTACTGAAACTATATTATAAATAACATGTAATTTTTTAATAATCCACTAAATTTTTATTTTTATTCCTTCTCCATATTTGAAATTAGAGTTTCATTTTTGAAATATATAATTGGTTTTAGAAAGAATTTATGT